AAAGATAGTGTAAACTTCGAAAAATATGAATGGTATTAATAATTGTTGAAGTTATTGGTATATAATCTTTTACTAAGATTATATTAATTTTTGGGTAAACCTTATTTCTCACCCCATTTTTTCCTAAAATGTATTAAAACTAATATTGAAATCTGTAAATAAAATTCTCAGTTAAATAGGTACAAATTTTACTAGTCTTTATATTATATTTAATTTTATTAATTTATTAAAATTCTATTTTCGTTTTATTTCGTAACTTTTTTTTTTGTATTAACATGGTAATACATTATTTTAAATATTATTTTCGTTAGCAATGAAATATTAGGTTTGATCGACATAAAATTTGAAAATTTAGAAGCTTACTGTAAATTAATAAGATAAATCTATTTAGAATTATTAAAACATCACAAAATATGATAATCTTCTAAGTATTATTAAATGTTAACTCATCAACAGTCTTAAATTTATGAATATTAAATACGATTGTACATTTTTAAAAACTACAAAATAAAAATCTATCAAGTCAATATTTTTAATCTATTTATCATCTGTGATGATTTATTCTAACATTGTATAGCTCTCCATGAAGAAGGTGTTCAGTGATAACACTTCAGAACCTCACAGATTTGGCATAAAAATGAAGTTGTTAAATTTATGGTCACCGGTCAGTATACTTAACACAACAATACCCACGAAAATATTCGCAAAACAAAATATATATTTATATTTATTTAAGTGTTTTATCTAMTTATAAAAGGATTTTATTTCTTAACTCCCTGACTTCTGGTTGAATGAAAGCTTTCAGATCAATCAGAGCTGCCGATTAACTTTCAAGTAAATTTTAATTGAATTACTGAACAGTATATTATTATCCTACTATCAATGAGCCATGAGATACAACTATACTTTTCAAATTTAGTTTATCTAATGTTCTTTTTWTTATTATTATTTTAAGAGCTGTTATTTTTAATGATTAAGCTTTATTGTTACTTTTGATAATAATCACTTATGAATGACAGTATGATAATCAAATTAATAACATAGGTGTTATATTATGAGGATGTCAGCGCACTACAATATTAAGTTTGATCACTTAGATCCACAATTACATCCACAGTATTTCCCTTTTGCAAAAACAATCTTGTATTTTTTCTATTTTTTTTAAATATTTGAAAAATTCCGAAATTTTATTTAAGATTCTGAGTGAAGCGAGGTTTGTATTGATTTTACCATGATGCGTTTATTTTGTGTGTCTGTCATCACGTCTTGGAGCAGTAAAAGTGCTTCGATCTTCGACTTCAGTACCTCGTTCGATCAGAAAGTGAATCTGGTTGGGTAAGGGTCAAAAGTAAAAAAGCGGGAAAGTGGATGTCGCTCTGCTGTACAAGTGGGTTACAATAATGGATGGAATTAAATTTGAATCCAATGATATTATATCATTGTATACGAAAAAAAAATCTGAGCTAAGACGGTTTAT